TTCTTTGATTCATGTGCTTCATTACGAGTTTAGTGTTTAGTATGATTTTTCTTTTAGAGTATCTATGCCACAGCATTCTTATTCAGATGAGCCAAAACAACTACACACGGTTACAATGCTTGGATAGAATTTGGAATTATCATTTAGGCTTCAGTTTCCCAATCAATACTTTACTGTTTTGTCATGAAAATGCTCCTAGTTTCCCCTCTTCATTTCCTTTTGTCACACCCAGACAGCCTATCAGTTCCATTCATTGCCAGGTTCTAAAACTCAATTTATATATATATTCCTCCAACCACCAGTCAGCAAATTAAACGAAAAGATGTCACTGTCATCCTGGAGGACTTCTAGTTCTGTGAATCATACCAAAGTCAAAAAACACAAATGCTAAGGCAGATAAATTGAGAGTCATTCTGACCCTTCATTATCATCTCATTTCTACACTACACAAAACCCTATCTTACATAGAGCAAAAAATCCACCTGTCATGTTGTCTATCATTCATTCTCCCAGTCCCTAGCACCGAACCTGGAATAAAGCAGGTGCTTAATAAAGTATGAATGAAGAAATAAATCAGATCTGGAAGATATAAAGGTTGGACGTGAAATATCTGATCAAGTCACTTTGTATTAAAAGTTCAATTTTCAAAATCTAGAAGCATCATTAACAAAAAATAGTTTGAAAATAAACTTACTATTTATAACAATGGTAGTAAAGTCTCAGGGAAAAAACACCTCTTTCACACTAAGGTTGCTGAATGAAAAGCGATGATTATACATGGCAAAATCAGAGATGCAATCAGGAAAGAGAAACCACACAATAATTTGAACTTGCTAAGTTTAGTGTAAAGAAAACAACTGGGGCAGGGAGCACCTGGGTGGCTCAGTGGGTTGAACGTCTGACTTCAGCTCAGGTCATGATCTCACGGTTTGCGAGTTCGGCCAGGCGTCGGACTCTGTGCTGATAGCCCAGAGCCTGGAGCCTGCTTTGGATTCTGTGCCACCCTCTCTCTGCCCTTCCCCCACTCATGTGCTCTCTCGCACGCACGCGCTCTCTCTCCCAAAAACAAATAAATATTAAAAAAAAAAAAAAAAAGAAAGAAAAAACTATTAAATGGGATCAAAGTAATGAGGGCTTGGCTAATAAAAAATAACGCTAAAGACTATTAGACTGACAAATATAAGGAGAATCCACCACACTTAGGGGCTTAGACAGAGCTTGCCCAGAGCCCCCTGGACTGAGATGCAGACCTCATTGAAAGCCTTGGTTGTGGCGCACAGAAGTAGCTGTGGGGATCTGCCAGTGAATCTTGCTGGAAATCTTCCCTTTAGGGTGTTGGGGAAAACTTCATTGAGAGATTTTGCTGGAGGTCCTCCACGATGAAATCAACTGAAGTGGGTGCTAGAAACAGCTGGTGATTGCTAACCACTATGCAGTGCAGGAGCCAGCCACTAGAAAAGGTGTTCACCCTCCTAAAGCAGGACAGAACCTGCTAAAAGCACACTGTACCCAGGAAGAAAAACTGTTTCCTCATTCAACGTCCCTCCAATGCCTTGTCTACTGATAAAGCTTAATATTGTGCCAGCTGGCAAAAGAAAAATCTATAAGGATCCAGCTCCATATCCACAGAGCGTGCAAGAACGAGGATTATGGAGCTAAATTTTATTGCCATAGTCCATCTCTTTGACTGAGCTTCCATATGTACTCTACTCTTCTACACAGCTGAACTCCCATACAAAAAAACCCAACAGCAGCAGGGGTGGCCTTCCCAGCACCAGGCTCCAGCAGCACAGGCAGCTTCATCAGCATTCATTCATAACTTACTCCTTTCCTAAGAGCCAATCCGAAGAATAATACAGGCTATCAATAAGGAAATTTCACAACTTATTCATAGTTCACATAAATGACAAAGTTCTTCCGTTTAGCTAACGTGAATCCTTCTTACACAAAGGAAGTTTTTTTGTTTATTTGTTTTTTAAAGAGCACTAACTATGGCAATAGATGACCCTGGTTAAAATCCCAGGTCTCTTAACTATAGTGCCTTAAGCAAGTTACTTAACGTTTCTTTGTCCCTATAAATTCGGGAGAAATCTTCCTCCTAGGGTTGTTGTCAAGAGTAAATCAACTGAAATGAAGACTAAATCAACTAATCTGCGTTGAACCTAACCTTGCAAAAGTCAGCAAATGTTAACTATTATTATCTCATCTCTAGAGATGGAGTTAGCTTATATCCTGTCTCCCCACACTAGAATGAACCCTCCACAAAGGCAGGGAGATTTGTCTGTTTTGTTCCCTGCTTTGTTTCCACCACCTACAACAATAACTGGCACAAACAGGTGCTCAAAAATATTTAATAAACCACTGATCACAAGCCCTTCTATACTAAAAGACACTCATGACAATTCTTCAAAGTCCTACTGTTATAAAGACTTATAACTTAGTAACTGAGAAACAATAAATGGGGGGAGGGGAATCAAAAAAAAATTATGCCAATCTCTCCTTTAATAAGACATGTATCTGCAACATATTTCTTCAGTGTTTTAACGTGGCATTTACCAGTTGTGTGGCCCAGGAAAATCACTCCACCGGAACATCAGTTTCCTCTTTTGAGGGGAATAACTACAAAGAATAACTACAAAGAACTGTTGAAACATTATTTTTTCTTTAAATAATGTATATAACACCATTTAGGACAAAATTTATATTCTATTGAATTTAAATATCACCTAAAGGCAACCTCTGGTTTTTCAAGTTTGAGAAGTATGCAATTAGCTTTCACTGTGCACTCAACCAAGCTAAACTTAAACTGAAAAAAAAAAAAAAAAAAATTCTAAAGGTGTTTCAGAAAAAAAGAGATATGGCATGAAGTTCCCTCAGCACAGCCAATTCTGTAATCCCCTAAAATTTTCCTTCCAAGAGTTTATGTGAAAAGAACATAGGATTGTGTTCTGTACCTTCTGAAGGTAAAATAAAGCATCCAAGATCTATCTGACATATATATCATATCTCCAATTTAAAAGCATCAAAATCTGACATTAGATTTAATGGTGAATATTCTGAAATATGATCCTACTGATTAACAACCACATCATTTAGCAGAATAGTTTATTCACATTTTCACAATATTTTGACATCTAAATTTCTAAAACTTAACTTCATTAGTTCCTCTTACTATTAATTTCCCAACACTGAAAGAAATGTCCAGTCAAAAATTACCACAAAATACAAGCAACAAGAACACCACTATTAGCAATTTTTAGTAGCAACGATGCAGTAACATCCTTATTGTTTACTACTTGCAAGTAGCTGTTGGCAAAGCTGTAATTCATTCTTAAGTTACAGACACAAATAATTTTATCACTGACTTAAAATAGAAAGTGGAGATATCTCATTTTTCTTGCAGGACTAGAGCTCAATCAACAAGCAATATAAATTTCATAGCAGAGCTGAAATACTAGCTTTGCTAAAAATAATACAAAAATTATGGAGGTAAAAACTAGAATAGATCCTATCTACTAGAAACACTACCGATTTTACAGCAATGTGAGTTCCTATTCTTGAGACCTAGAGATTACCTTTCCAATATCTGTAGGCTCCACAGTCACTCACCCAAGATCCCTGGTGTTCTACATTGAGAACATCTAGACCCAAAGAGGTTAAATGACTATGTCTCACTTCCCCTCTCCCAACAGAAACAGCTAGCTAGAGACCAGGCAGATTAGAACTGGTTTTCTCCATTTTAAGAAAAATTCCCATATCAGAAAAATCATTTTAAATCTTGCTCTTCCGAGTGTCATGTGATCTACACTACCATTTTTTTTTTTTTTTTAAGATACACAGCAATTGCAAGTTCCAGTTCTGCTCCCTTCCTATCATCTTCTTATAGGAAGCTGGATCATGAAGGAGAAAGTGGGGATACGTTGTACATAATAGATGCCACCACTCATTCAGGTCTTTATTGGAAAACTTTGGGATGTGACACCACCACCAGCTCACCCAAGACAAAATAGCAAACTAAGTTACTGACAGCAGAAATGATAAATCACCCAACATGCGTTAAAAAGGAACAAAAGAGCACCACTAACTATAGTATATCTCAATGACTATGGAGTTTTGTTAAAGTTGTATCCTCTTTCCTCAGTTTTAGAGATTCATCTTGTAACAAATTTTAATAAACCTGATAATGCATTTCCAGTCAATGTTTGAGTTCAGATGAACTTAAGCATCCCTGTATGATAATATATTCTGTATGTAGTAACTTGCTCGTTACCTACATAAACAAATGTTTCGTATGGCATATTTTCACATGCTTTCAGTGAAACACTTTAACACTTTTCATCCAGCCAAAAAAACCCCAAACCCTCCACTTAAATAAGGAACACAAACAGGAAAATGATCTTAAGCTTAACCTTAAACACAAATATGAATATAGGAAAAGGAGTGAGATCCATTGCCATTCGGGATGCACTAGTCTCCCCAAGGAGAGGGATGGAGGTGCAGGGAGAGCTCATAAACCGAGGTGTACTGGACAACTCAAGAGCGATTCCTCAAGTTTCCCGCATTCTGCAACCCTCCATCGCTCAGTGGTGCGGCTCGGGCCATAACCTATAACCTTCATCCCAGAGGGCCCCAGCATTTCTATGTGGTGTCCAAACCCAATTGCTGGAGGAAAAAGGGCCATAAGATAGGCCAGGCCCTACAAAGGGACGTCGGACGTGGGGCAAGAAACCTTTTCCTTTCCAAATCGAAATCGGAGCAATGGGTGCATTTCCAGAATGGATTTCGCAAGTAGGTCCCTTAAGAAAAAAACCATTCCCGAACTCGGGAGTGGGGACTGAAAGCCCCCGGACCAGCATCAACGCAGCCCGCACCCAGAGCTGAGACGGCGCGCAGTCGTACCGCCCACATTCCGGAAGTATTCGGAGACCACCCCCCCCCCCCCCTCCCGGCCAGGGCCGACCCTCTCCCCCAATCGTAAGCCCTCGGCCCGCACCCCTCACCCTGGTGATTGAACAGTCTCCATATCCTGGTGAAGAGAATTCCCATTCTTGGGCAGCGGACCCCCCCTCCAGCCACCCGGGCCGCCTGGCCTCCCCCGGCTCAGGCTGAAGGGGAGGAGAGAGACCCGCCGGTGCCTCCGCCTCTGCTGCTGCTGCTGGTCCCGCGCTGGCCGCCAGCTCGCTTCCTGGGAACCGGAGGGAGGCCGAAGCCCAGGCCGCCCTGCCGCGTGCGAGGCCCCGCCGCTGCCGCCGCGGCACTCGCCTGGCTCGCGGACATCGCCGCCGCGTTGTCTGCGACGAGCCTCGCGGGCCACCGTCCTCCCCCAGCTCCTCTCGGGCGGCTGCGGTGGCGGCGACCACGCGGGCGGGGGAGGAGAGGGGCGGAACGAACGGGACGTGAGGGCGCAGGCGCGCGGACGGAGGGGCGGAGCCTGAGAAAGGGCGCCTGCTTGGCCCTCTTTCATTTGCTTTTCGGAACGACCTGTAGCCTGCGGGACTGAGCCCGGGGGGAAATCGAGGCAGTGCGGACTGCGGGTTGTGACAGATAGCTTTTATCTACTTGCTTTAACGTCCTTGCCCTTTTCATGTTTTCCCCTGCATTTCCTCGACGGAACCATAATGTAAATGTGTTAATTGAATGCCTAATACTCATCCGCAATCTTTCATACACACTACACCAAAAGTTCCACGTCTTGCCCCGCAAAGACTTTGGGGTTCTGTGAGGGAAGCTTAACCTCTCTCTCGCTCGCTGTCTCTCTCTCTCTCTCTCTCTCTCTCTCTCTCTCTCTCTCTCAAACCTCTTGTCCCTGCCATCCAGCTGAAGCCAGTGGCCTTACCTACACAATCACTTATGGCACTTAAGGATTGTACGTCAGGGCTCTTCCCTATCCAATCTCCCTCCTCTTTCCAGTCAATCTTGCCCCGAGCAACGATTTTGATCAAGTCCCTCCTAGGGTTAAAAAAATCTGCGGTAGCCACTAAAACTGAGCAGGAGAGTCCAAATACCTTAGATACTAATTTTTCTCCAGACTATGGCCCCAAATTGCCTTTCCAGCTGGGATTTCCATTATTCCAAACTGGTTACGCATCAGGTCAAATGTTTTCCCCTGCTCTTTACAGTCTCCTTGCCTGGACACCTAGAATAGCTATGTCCCATGCTCTGCATGTGTCGCATTGTATTTAATCAACCTTCTACTATGGGATATTTCGAAACTAGCATAAAAGTGAACCATTAGGTTACTTGATATCAGAGTTCTGCTTCCACGTGTTATATTTTATCTGGGTAAATTGCTTAATCTCTCCAGGCCTCAGTTTTCACATAAGGAAAAACAGTGGGTTTGTCCCTAAGGTCTTTCTTTGATTCTAGGTCATCCGATGAAGAGGTCATTTGATAATCTGATAATTAGTCTCTACTCTTGTTAAAGGCAAGAGGTGGGAAAAGAGAAACTAAAGTTCTTTACTTTTCTTTCACAAAGAAATCAGAAACAGCTCCATCCTTCTATTCTCCTTAACTTTGGTAAAAAAAGAAAAGAAGAAAATGTGAAACTTATAAAAGGCATTTTGAACTGTTCTGCCCCTCCATGCTCAAGATCTGAATGAAATTAAACAAAATCAACAGTAAATTACATCTTTCCACCTTACATCTACTAGCTGTACAATATCTTGTCTCAATATATAGAACAAGTAAGACCTTGACAGTCTACATTTCTTCTTAATTGAGCTAGAAAATTGTACCCGTAATACAAAGAGCAGCATAGAGGACTAAAGTGTGTCTCTTTTTAAACATCTGTGCAAGAAGGAAGTCCTTTGACTTCTTTTGGGGCTTATGGTTAAAAAACCAAATTTTATTTTATCTTTATTTATTTATTTATTTATTTATTTATTTATTTTAGAGAGAAAGAGTGTGTGTGAGTGGGGAAGAGGGGTAGAGAGAGACAGAGAAAGAGGGAGAGAGGATCCCAATCCATGCTTGGCATGGAGCCTGCTATGGGGTTTAATCCCACAACCCTGGGATCATGACCTGAACCAAATTCAAGAGTTGGATGCTCAACTGAATGAGCCACCCGGGTGCCCCAAAAGCCAAATTTAGAGGAAACATATGAAAGGAAAGAAAATACTACAATCCATTTTATGTTTATTTTATTTATTTATTTTTTATATATGAAATTTATTGTCAAATTGGTTTCCATACAACACCCAGTGCTCATCCCAAAAGGTGCCTCTCAATACCCATCACCCACCCCTCTCTCCTCCCTCCCACCCCCATCAACCCTTAGTTTGTTCTCAGTTCTCAACAGTCTCCTGCTTTGGCTCTCTCCCACTCTAACCTTTTTTTTTTTTTTTCCTTCCCCTCTATGGGTTCCTGTTAAGTCAGGATCCACATAAGAGTGAAACCATATGGTATCTGCTCCTCCTTTCTGGTATGGTTTATTTCACTTAGCATCACACACTTCCAGTTCCATCCACGCGCTTGCTGCCAAAGGCCATATTTCATTTTTCTATTGCCACGAGTATTCCATTACGTATATAAACCACATCCATTCATCAGTTGATGGACATTTAGGCTTTCCATAATTTGCTATTGTTGAGAGTGCTGCTATGAATACTGGGGCACAAGTGCCCCTATGCATCAGTACCTTAGCCCCTTGATACCCCTTAGCAGTGCTATTGCTAACAGCAGGGTAGGTCTATTTTTAATTTTCTGAGGAACCTCCACACTGCTTTCCAGGAGTGGTTGTTGCAATCAATTTGCATTCCCACCAACAGTGCAAGAGGGACCCTGTTTCTCCACACTTCCAGCATCTATAGTCTCCCTTGATTTGTTCATTTTGGGCCACTCTGACTGGCGCAGATACCTTTTCCGAGTGTGGTTTGATTTGTGTATTTCCCTGATAAGGAGCTTGCACGCTGAACATTCATGTGCCTACAATATCCGGATGTTCAGAGAAGTGTCTATTCATGTTTTTTCACCCATTTCTTCACTGGGTTATTTGTTGGGTGTGAGTTTGGTGAGCTCTTTTATAGATTTTGATACTAGCCCTTTGTCCTGATATGTCATTTGTAAATATCTTTTCCCATTCGCTGGTTGCTCCTTAGTTTTGTTGGTTGTTTCCTTTGTGGTTGCTGTGCAGAAGCTTTTTATCTTCATAAGGTCCCAGTAATTCACTTTTGCTTTTAATTCCCTTGCCTTTGGGGATGTGTCTAGTAAGAGATTGCTATGGCTGAGGTCGAGGTCTTTTTCCTGCTTTCCCTAAGGTTTTGATGTTTCCTGTCTCATTCAGGTCCTTTATCCATTTGAGTTTGCTTTTTGCACAGTGGTATGTGTCTGTTTCTAACCTTCAGAGATGTTGCTGTCCAGTTCTCCCTGTTCATTTATTAAAGAGACTGGCCTTTTTCCATTGGATGTTCTTTCCTGTTTGTCAAGATGAGTTACGCTTGTGGGTCTAGTTCTGGGGTTTCTATTCTATTCCATTGGTCTATGTGTCTGTTTTTGTGCCACCATTTTATGTTTATATTTGCATAATAAATTCTTTCTAGGCTATTTAGAAAAACAATATTGTTTGTGTAATCAATTTACATTAACTCTTTAATATTTCCATTCTTGCACACTGTAGGTGGTACTTTTGGCAGCTCTTAAGACATTTTACAAACTCCCCACACATCTCTGTCCACCTATTAAATGATTATCATATCCATATTTACTTGCAAAGTTAGGGCTTAGTCTGCCAGATTATCTCTAAGTGGCTCTCAAAAAAAAAAAAAAAAAAGAAAAGAAAAAAAAAGAAAGAAAGAAAGAAGGAAAGAAAGAAAATAAAATAAAAAGGGAATTTGCCTAATATAATATTGTCCAACTATAGGATCCATAGGTGAAACATAAATTTGGACCACTATGTAAATACAGTAATTGGAAATGTTTGTCAAGTAGTATGAAGCTATTTGTGAAAACAAACTCCTTATAAAGTCTTTTAAAGACTATCCATGATGATAGTAATGTGCAAAATGTCATTAAAGAGACTTCTGCTTCCAGGTATGGGAAAGTGGGATAGTCCAGAATTGTCCTCCCATCATTAACAAATAGGAAATTGGACAAAATGTAGAAAACAACTGTTTTCAGATATTGGGCAACATACAGCACAGGATTGTGATCTCTGATAAGAGTCACGAATGAGGTGAGTCTAACCATTACCCGGATTTTCTGCCTGGAGGCAATGCCTAGCCAGTGACAGAGGGGATGGGAACTCAAATTGAGTCTAGCAGTCTCCTTGAGTTAAAGACAAAGATCAGTGTTCCAAGGTATCAAGGTAGCTAGAATTTGTGAAGCAGAGTGGCTGAAAGGAGGGAGCTGTACAGAGAAAAGCTCCAGAAGCCTGCTGAAGTCAGCGACTAAGTCTTTGGCTATGTATCAACCTGTATCCATGCAGAAACCCGAGACTAGCCAATAACAATTTCTGAGAAAAAAAAACAAGTACCAGGGAGCCGTAAAACATGTAATTCTTAGAGTTTACTACTAAGGACCAGGGATGATCAGAGTTCCCTTCCATCAGAGTGAAGAGAACTCACTAAATATATGGGACATTCGGTAGACACCCCAGAGACCTTAGAAGAGGAGCTAAATTAGCCTAAGAAGAAATCCTACTCTAGACTAGTCCTAAAGGAGCTTAAAAACAAACCTTCAGAGGATCAAACTAATCTACAATTGCCTGTCAAAACAAGTCCAGCATTTTTTAGAGGAATATAAGAACAAGCCATCCACAATGGAATATTTATAATACCTTGAACCCAGTAGCAAAATTACCGGACCTACAAAGACACAAGACAATGTGACCTGTAACCAAAAGGAAAATTGCTCTACAAAAACAGATAAAAGTACAGGCAGGTTAAGTGATTGCCCCAAGCTCATAGTTGGTTACTGCCAGATCCAGGCTTTGAACATAGGCCGGAGTTATGGCTTACAGTTTAACCACTATCCCAATCTGCATGTTGTATGACAGGACAAGCAAGATTTTTCTTCACAACCTATCCTATTAGTAGAGATGTGTTAATGACCAGAGAGGTGGCTTCAGGCATACGGCCTTGATGGAGTCGTGGCTTCAGGCATACGGCCTTGATGGAGTCGTTGCAGTAAGCTGCAATTATTCTATTTGGGAATTTCGGATTGTTGGTTGAAATGCCTTAATAGATAGGACAGCCCTATTTAATATTTCTCCAATAACTGAAGTATCGTTCATTTAGTCAACATTTACTGTATTCCAGCATTGTGTGCTTCAAACGACTACCAGCGTAAAAACATTTGATGTATGTATTTTTAGACA